TAATAATTAGGTTATTGAAGAACAATGAAAAAATACGGTACCTGTATTTCACACTATAATGTACAATACTGGGTTGAAACTTTTCTTACCACACAATCAGATCATATCCGTATTACATTCCCCTATTTCAATCATATTTACAGTTTTCATCTTTCTCCCTAGTTGAAAAGATATTGCGGTTTCTCTTAAGTTCTCTTAAGCTTCTGAGAACAGTCGATGCTCATTACAACGACTATTCCATTACAAAACCGTTGCAGAAGTATTCTAACTGAAAACTTAAATCCACTTGCGTTATAGCAATTACTTGTTTTAACCTTCTTTTCCTAATAGCGATTACTTGTTTTAACCTCCTTTTTCTTTAGGATACGAGGGATCACTAAACTAGCATCAAATGGTCAGCTAGCATCATTAATTATTCTAGCAGTGCCCCCAATGATTTGATGAATAAAACTGCTGAGCACTAGAAGTTCAACCCGAGTTCATATCCCAGAGAAAGGGACGAACGCATTGGCATTTCCGCGATTTTGCTCATGTTTAATCATATGAATGAGTTTTCTATGAATATCCTCTACATCACTTCATTCAGGCAGATAGGCCTTCATGCTTTGTCATATCTAACCGAACAAATCAAGAAACAAATGCTATTACTGTTTTTTCGGGTTGTTGTGACTGTAAATAAGAGCTGTCTAACCACGAAAGATATACTAGCTGGGCCGTACTGAGAATAGGAAAAATGGTACTAACAGAAAGCAAACGAATTCAAGAGGAAATGAGGATAAGAACCAAAGAAAGGTGACTCAAATAACCGTATAATCATGAATAGGTGCGGGAATCACCAATGGTCGAGTGCTAGTGGGCTGAGACTGCTGAATATTGGTAGTTCGTCCTGGCTGGCTGCATGGTTGGTTTTTATACATTTCCCAATGTTTAACATGAACGTGATCCATTTTACCTTGGAAAATCCTCTACAGAGGAATTTAGGGAGATAACCTTAGTGTGTTTTGCCATATTCAAATAACCAGTGAATCCGCCATAAAAAGGTATGACCATTTATCCTCATACTTTTCCTTGTTCAACTAATACCGCGCATTGCTGCGGTGAGGGCAAGTACTAAACAAAAAAAAAAAGGGTTTTCTTTCAACTTAGAATGATATGAGGTTCCTCAAGGACCATTTAACTCTCTGTTTAATCTTCTCGAAACGCGCATTCAAATGTTTATGATCCCGATTGCTGGGCTGTTTAAACGTATGTTCAGCATCTTATTATGACACGTTCTCCTTTCCAGCGCACATCGAAACTTCTAAAAAGCTTTTTACTTTCATCTATTTTGCATTTAATTTTTTTTTTAATAAAAATTCGGATAATTGAAATTGTGGGTAGTGTATGGATAGATATAGGACATCACTGTTTTGCGTTTTATCGTTTTACAAATAACCTCAAAACTTTACTTTTCTTCCAAACAAAGAATGAAATTGTTTTCGAGTTACCAGAAAGTCTTTGCGATATCAAAAAGTGGACGTTTAGATTTGAGAGAATTTTTAGGTGATAAATATATTCTATGTTATTCATGGAAAATCATAGGTCATGTTTCCTTCCGGTAACGACAATGTAATTTGTTCATAAAGAATGATGTTGCAAAACAGAATATTGTTCCTTTAGAGAATTATTGGTCGAAGTTTGTTACGCTCTTCCGATTCTCGCAGATTTCTAGTTACTTATTCACCTACTTGAGAGTTCGTAGAACTGTACACGGCCAAGCTAATTTACTGTTCTTCTTCAAACCCGTTGTACTGCATTCTGACTAGGCTGTTTTTCATCTCATCTTAAAATGAACTTGTGACCGCATTTAGTGTCGAATCAAACTTTAAGTGGATCTGTCTTTCAAACCAAATGTGAAATAATTTAGTAAACATTATAATGACCCCACACAAATTCCGAATAATATTAAAGCTTTCTAGCGTAACAGATATTTGCTTAGTAGAAACTCAACAGAAATGGAGACAAGTGACCATTTTGAAATATGGCGCAATGGTATCATAAATTATGCATAAATAATACCCTAAATAGTACTATAAATTATGTTCTGTTTGTCCTTCTTCCTCCCCTCTGCCTTCCGCTTCTGTTTTCCATCCCTATAAACAAGAAGAAAATAATTTACAAAATTGTATATGGTCTATTTTAGCGGTTCTCAACCTTTTGACTAACGCGTACCTTCTAAACAAAAAACCTTTAGTAACACCACAACAAAGTACTACCACCACCACTTTTCTTGAACAAAGCTCAGATCGTATAAATTTACGAGTGCTAGAAAAAAAAAAAACTCAATCAGGATGCTGAGGTTTTAATTTTTTAATATAATACTTGAAAACACTTTGCTTCTTTGCGTACCATCTATTTTCCTCTTGCGTACCACCGGTTGAGAACCCCTGGTCTATTTCCTTTCAGTGCAAGATAGGAAAATTACGAGAAAATTACGTATTTAGGTAAAAATCTTTCACTGTATGTTTTGTCAAAAAGGAAATCTGCCATAATTTATCATTTATGCTACGATTTAATGAAATTTAATAGAATAGTTCTTTTCTGACGAAAGAAAGATATACGTATATTCGTTTAAAAAACAAATTTGTGAGACTACCGAATAACATTTTTTTACTTAATGAAAGATCGAGTTTGGCTAACTTGATGAATGGGAACTAAAAATAGTTTTTATATTATTTTTATTAACATTGTTATTATTACAACTTCTTAAAAACAATATTAAGCTCTCTAAGGCTGTAACGTTAATAATAATATGATTTATTCGTAAGGATTTTATGTGATGATTAAAAAAAGATAAACATCTCTTGGCCAATTTTCCGTAAGCTGATGATTCGAGGTTAAGAAATGGATCAAAGACTAACACACTGACCAAAATTTAATACGCTTTGAAAATAATGTTTAATTTTAAAAATACACGATAATAACTTACATTTACAATCTACACCATTTTAGTGATAATTCGTATATAATTAAGAATTTTCTTTTCTGTCTCGCACATATCACTTCTGAAACAATTTTTTATTCTCTGAGGAAAAGAAGGTGAAAATCAATTATTAGTAATCATCTCTCAGTATATGCTACTACAAGTATTGTGCGTAAAATATTCCGTGAACCTGAAAATATATTGCATTTATTATCTGTCAAATTACTGCACTAAATAAAAGATACGAGATTAAATTTAACGACCAGGCAGATGAGTGTCAGTTATTTTTGACTTAAAACTTTATTTTTGACTTAAGGTTCTTTTGGTTGGTTATTTAGGTATGACAAAACACATGATAGCTGTCTGGCTAAAGGCAAAGATGACTTCTTGGAGGAAGTTCCTGGAAAACTAGTTCTAAATTTGCATTACACATGGAGAAGACCAACCATGCAGCCCTCCCATTCGCCTGATTTCGAACCTGAATCAAACTACCAGTGTTCAGTGGTCTTAACTCCTCGGCCATTAGTGAAGCCTCAAATAAGAATGAAGCCGTAAATAAAGTCGGAATAATTTCAGTGTAACGGTTGAAAATACAGCGGGACACGATTCTAGAACAAAACGGAATTAAACAAATGAAAACAATCAATAAAATATGAAATATGAAGCATTTTGTAGCATAACAAAGACATGATAATTGCAATAATTTGCATTAGTAACACTAATAAATAATTTGTTTTTAAATACAAGAAGCAAACACATTTACTGCACCTTTTGCCCGCTAATCCACGATTCATCATGGCTAAATGAATAAAAAGGAAATACTTTGAAGGACTATGGAAAAAGCACACCTGAAAGAAAAAACAAAATATGACATTCTGATCATCCAGATAGAGCTTAACCTCTTAAAGGTGTCACAAATCATTTCAATGAAAAAAAAAAAAGTCAAAATCCATCAAAGATCCAAGTTTTTTTTTTTTTTTTTTTTTTTTTTTTTTGTTTGTGTGTGTGTGTGTGTGTATTAAGATAAAGTATTTACTCCAACGTGTAAATTAAGTGAAACTAAATTGAGTTTATCGCAGCTCGCAAAGTACACAAAGGTCATCTACTTAAAGATAGAAATGCCTGCGTGCAGGACATTCCTTATGTATTTGGGAAATACGTAAGGAATATATGAAAAACCACAAGCAGTCAGCGCTTTTCGTGATCAACAGCCGAACCCGAGATAAACTAACAATGTCTCACAATTTTAACCACTCAGCCGCCGGTGGACCCATAAAATATATAGGAATTATAAAGATTCTTAATTCTAGGGACCAATCTTTGATAGAATGCAAACCAACAGGAAAGCTTTCCTTTTCATACTAGAGCATTTCGCATCTTTTTTAAATAAAAGTCTTTGTTATTATTTAAATAAATCTAAGTCATTGCCATTTATATAAAACTAATAAAAGTAACATAGATGATCGCTATCCTCATATTGATAAAAATTGTGCTATTATCGTTTAAGTTTTATTTTTGATTGACAATTTTGATTCAGACGATATAAAATAGGGGCAAGGGAAATTAGATATCCTGCAGTCAAGATACGTAATAAAAGAAGTTTGAAACACCTTTCATTAATTTTGCTAATGGCATTTGTGAATAAAATTTATGCAGTAGAAGACTATCGAAACGTTAATCTGAAGTATACATTATTTTTAAGTATTACAATTTCTTATGCTGATAAACCATGTAATATTAAAATCTGGAAGTTAACTGAGCTACCTCATTGCACACGGACTTGCAAAAATCCCTGTTTGGTTCTAGACGCGATTTTCTTTGCAACGGAAAGTCAGTAACACTGCCTTTAGAGTCTGTGTCTAGGTTTAAACACAATGTAAAGATATTAATCAAATTGTACAGATAATGCATATTTATTTTATTTTTCATTTATTTATTTTATGTTTATTTTTATTTAGTTATTGATTATTTTCGTTATTTTTTTTCTTCTCAAATCCTTAGAAATTCCTTTTACTAATATGACATATGATCGTTTCAGGGTGATTCTGGTGGTCCTTTGGTTCAATACCGAAATGGAAGTGCCTATTTGGTTGGAATTGTATCATGGGGTATAGGATGTGCCGAGGCTGGACACCCTGGTGTTTACACCGATGTGACACAATTTGTACCTTGGATCAAGCATTATGTATACCCTGAATTATAATTATTCGAAGAAAATAAAAAAAACTGTATTTAGCTGTTTTTTAATAACAATTACTGGTCGTTTCTGGTACCATGTCATTCGATGAACCTCAGGAAAAATATTATTTAAATTCGTAATACAAGGTTTAATTACTTAAATCTCGTAACTCGAGATTTCATTTTAAAATTGTTCAGTATTCTTCTAATGAGCGAATTATTCTAGGATCAAAAATCAGTAGATCAGTTTTACAGCTCGGTAAGAAGAACTACTTTTAGATTTGGAAAATCCTAAATTGTCAGATAAGCGGAAATAATATTTTGTTTTAATTTATGTGACTACATTTCTGAATTTTATATGAGTTTTTCTTGGGACGCAGAAATTACAAAATATAAAGAATAAAAATTCTAGAAAATTGAGTCTTGAAATTTCCGTCCCCCCCCCACCGAGTTGAGCACAGCCGCTGATTTTAATACACAAAATGCTACGAGGGTTAAAAGTTTAAATAATAAATAAAGGAAATCATAATGTTAAATGAAAAGTACTTAGAAAGTGGAAGTCGAATGAAGGAGGAAAGCTTTGAACAAGAATTTGAACATCTGAAAGAATATGTGTGTGTATCTACTGCCTGCCCTCAATGTTCACTTATTAATACTTTCTGCACAAACACAGTAAATGTTTTATTATTAAAATTCATTTATTCCTGCTTCTTCATAGTTTACTTCAAAAGCAGCCACCTTACACGAGACAGTTTTTAAAGGCGAAAATATACTGAGAGCTTTGTAAAAGCGTCCATTTTCCAAATGAGGAAATTACTGCAAAGCTGAAATTAAATCATTGAGTGCAAAAAGTTAAGGAAAAGAAATCATTCTCACTGACAAGGAAATTTCATAACAAAAGGATCACGAGGAAAACCTTGAAGCCAGGGAAAATTACTTCACAAAATAAATGAAATATGTTTTGATGTATTCTGTCTGAGCCAAGTGAATAAGGAACTTTCATTCAAAAAGAGTTTATCTTACCCCACATAATTTTTCACTATCCACAATCTGATAACGGTATTTGTGAAAATACATATGTTCAGCTTGCATGCTATGATTAAATACTTGAGAAAATTTTAAATGAGAAATCCTGCCTGGTAAATCCGGTACTCGTAATACAAGTAATACTTAACTAGCAAGCACACTTTGACATTTATGAAAAATTGCATTTTTTATTCAAATCTAGATTGCTAAATTTTCCATCCCTCAAGTAATATAAAATTTATAAAAGGAAAATAGTTAACTTACAAGATTTGTCTAAATCGTTGGGAATATTTAGCCATGGTATTTATCATTTTTAACCCTCAAATCAGTTAAAAACCATGTTTATATTTTTCATAAGTTTATTTTCAGCATAAACAAATGCCACTATCAACTTATTTTCCAATGTTTCTATATAAATAAGTATAATACTTTTCATATATATTTAAAGCACTGGTAATATGTTAACGGAAAATGTTTTATTAGCCTCTTTGCTGATAATACTTGCTAATAAATAATTCTCTAGAACATATTCTATCAAAATCATGCCATGAAAATTCAAGATTTCTATTTTTGCATCAGGGCAATGCCTAACATTTAACTCTGTTTCGCTGCACCAGATTTCTATTGAAAATTAAAGTAAATAATGCTTATCCGGATATTAAAAATATTACTTCAGCGATTGTTAGGAAATATGTTTAAAAGAATTTTTATGAATGTGTTATTATATTCAAGTACAATTGTATTAGAATTGTACTTGCATATAAGATGCTTACTTGCATATGTACTTGCATACTTTTAGGAAGATTATTTAGGAAAATGCATGACTTTCTTTCAGAAAAAATGTAGGTATGTTTAAAATTAGAAAAAATTCATTCTTAATATTACTTTGGTTATGAACACAAACTATACTTTCCAGTTGATACGGACATTGGCTCTTCTTCCAGAGCAAATAACACACTGCTAGCTATTAAAATTGCTATACTACTATGAAAGAAGGACATAAAAAACTGGAATTTGTTAAAACATGTTGGGATATACAAATGTATAACATTTCACATGCACACAGTACAGGTAAGAGCATCGACACGTAGAAGCAGTAGAAAAGGGTCGACTGAAATGCTGACATGCGATTTTCACACTGTGCAACTCTCGATATACTATACACCGCGAAGATGACATCCGTCCGAATTCGTGCCGTACGGAATTTGAACGTCATTTCTGAGGAAATCTGTTAAATTGGCGTACAAAGCCTCTTGTATGGCAATTTAACAGATTTCAAGATTAACAGATTTCAGATTGTTACAAGATATTTTTAATAGCACAATATTGCATATTAACATTCATATTACATAAATGAATGCTTCTATATAAGGAGAATTACACTCTTAGACAAAAAAAACGACGCACCGAGAAGATATAAATCAAATTGGACACAAACTGATATGCACACAGGTTTCAAAGGAAAATGCAAAATTTTGTGTTTTGGCTGCCAATGACTGAACGGTTGTCGCTACAGCGCATCTGATCTGCGCTACTGGCAACATATTTAAGAGGAGAAATTACGATTTCAGGTCATAAATTCTTCACGAATTTCATTCCGTGTACTCTGGTAGACAGTAACTATGCCTCGCATACATGTGCACAGATGTCAGAATTTGAGAGAGGTCGTGTAGTGGGCTCAAAGAAGCCGGTTGGTCTTATCGGCGAATAGCTCGACATTTGAGCAGGAGCGATGCCACTATTAGACGATGTTGGCAGTAATGAGTGAACCATGGCCACACACAGCGTCAAGAAGGAAGCGGTAGGCCTAGAGAAACGACAGAACGTGAAGACCGAGCAACCATCAGAGCGGCACTGACAGCCCCAGATGCATCATTATCATCGATTGTACGTGCAACTAGTGCTTCAGTGACCGCAAGGGCCATTCATAGACGGCTCACAGAGAGGGGGCAAAGGGGGCTGAGGTCACGGCGCCCTTTGTGCCGACTACCATTGACCTCTGTACAACGTCAAGCCCGTTTGAAATGGTGTTAAGCTCATTCGCACTGGAATGTCACTGACTGCAGTAGAATAATCTTCAGTGATGAGTCCCGCTTTGAACTGAGACCCGATGACCAGCGAAGGCAAGTCTGGAGACGCCCCGACAGTGGTGTGATACCAACCTGACTCGACAACCAGGAGTGATGGTCTGGGGTGCCATTTCATTTCAACCCTTTGGTTGTCATCCGTCGCAACACACAGCACAGCGGTACGTCGACGACGTTCTAAGGCCCGTTGTGTTGCCCTTCATGTCACGCCACCCTGGGCTTACATTTCGGCAAGATAATACCCGCCCCCATACTGCACATGTTTCTACTGCCTGCCTTAGGTGCTTGCCGAACATTAGATTGGACCAGAAATGCTCGCCGGTATCCTCTCTCCTATTGAGCATACGTTTGCAGCATTATGGGCAGGGCTCTCCAACCAGCTCGGGATGTTGACGATCTTCTAACGCGCCAGTTGGATTGGATAGAATGTGGGCACGATATTCCTCAGGAAGGAACATCCGCAACCTCTATCAATCGAAGCCATGTCCGAATAACTGCTTGCATAAGGGCCAGAGGTGGAACAAAAGCGTTACTGACTTTTTCACTTTCGTGAAGCTCTCTATCACTTCAATAAATCATCTAATTTTTCTCAAACTGTAATCATTTGTTTTTCTGTTATCACTTCTTCCGATTTTCGTCCCATTCGGGTAACTCTTTCTTGGTGTGTCTTTTTTATTATTATTATTATTATTATTATTATTATTATTATTATTGCCTAAGAGATCTGGTATATCTACATATGTATGTATATGAGAGTGCAATAAATAAAATCTACATTTGGTGTATAAATAAGTCAAATGAGCTACATTTAAGTAATGACTATCAATGTTGATAAGGATGTTGAAAAAGGATTTTTACACTACAAATGTATATAAATGACATTATGCAACACTGTTTATGGTATTTCATGTGTTGGCATATTTACAGTAACGGAATGAACACTTATATTACGAGAATTCTATATCTATACATAACAATGTATTATACGGGATGAATACAAATATATGCATAATTTGGAAACTTGATTCGATGGAAAAAAGATTTTAATATCATAAGAGTTAGATAACTATAGAAAAAAAATTAAATACTTATATTAAAGGAGCTGAAACCGAAATTTAGCTACTTAGGGAATAACTGCGATGAAGACTGTTCTAGTTTACTGCGTTTTTGCAGTGCAATATGTTGTGATAGCATGGAAAAATACTATAAATTATAATGTTGCCTTATTGAAACATAAGGCAACATTATAATTTATAGTATTTTTCCACCACGCTACGCGAAACGTGGGTACTAGCTTTTTCGCCGTCAAGCAACACTCAGAGTAATAGTGGTTTGGGCTGGCCACTTCCCCACAGTCGCAGGTGTCTGTGTTGGAAAGACCAAACCTATGCAGATATGCTTTGTACAGTCTGTGTCCTGTTAGAAAATGTGATATATTGGCAGTTTTGCCCTGCAGATCCATGCTTACAATCGGGATCATTGCACTTGGGAGCCTTGCACTCCTAGTATACTAGTATTCATCGAAGTTACAGGTTATTTGAATACGACAAAGCACAAGAGGGCTATCAGCTTTAAGGGACGGGTGCCTTCAGGGAAGATTTGTGAGGGAAACTAGCTCGTATGCAGTCAACCCATTTACCGGAGTTCTCCTGGTTGAAGTACCAGTATTCTTCGGTCTTAATAACTAGTCCACCGGTGGAGCAGCACTGATCGAGACTTAGTGATTGTTATGAGAATTTGTAATCGATGGAACCACACAGAGCACCATCCAGAACCTCAGCGTCTCCTTTCTCATTCACCAATGTCCAAAGCAACAAACATGTTGTCTGCATAGCTGGTATGAACCATTCACATCACGCACTGTGGGTCAAGAAATTAGATATATTACCAAGTATCAAGAGCCATCAGCGGCCAAGCAGTAAAGTCGCTGAACACTGGTAGTTCTTTCTGAGGCTCGAATCC